TAAATCATTTATTAAATATGTTAATATTTATGTTAAAATTAATTATATTAATTAAACAAAATGAAATCATTATTATATTTATTGTCTAAGCTATCCAGTCACCCAATACTGTTGGTGATTTTCTCTTCCATGACTTATGGTACGGAGATGAGATGACTTCTTGTTATTTGGGAGTTCTGCTTAGATAGATGGTTGATTGAATCTACTGATTTTTGTATTCCTGTTGGTACTCTGTTAGGGGTTTCGATAGAAGATTCAGGCCCTCGAACAGGTTGAGTTATCTCTAGTGAAGTCTTTGCTGAAGATAACTGTTCTCATGTCCTTCCAATGATTATCTCAACAGATTACTTTCAGCTTAAGCCACCTATTCTTCCCAATTCTGCTCTGTTGCAGTTCAGGTCTTCTTTCTTCATCACCCTGTTTGCTCATATTTGTTTTTACTTGAAGTATAACCTCTAAGCGAGTAAATGTCGTATAGTGTGTGTGGGGATTTCCTAGATGTACACGTTCACGTCTCCAAATTAAGAAATTTTCCAATATGCACCTTCCTTGATGTCAAAGCCTTAAATAATACGTGGTGTAGAGAAGCTTCTAATTTTTCTCTTCTCTCATCTAGTAGGTTGTTGTTAAAACTGTTTGTTTTCTAATAAGCAGCAAGATAACTAGGTTGCTGTTCCATCTATTCACTGTGGAATTTATTGTAAACTGAGCCTATTATGTCTTCCATGGTACCTATCAATCATGGACAGGTGGTTTTGTAAGCAGCCTGATAAATGCTGGAACTTGATGAGATAGTGATATGACTGGAGTATCCAGGATGGTGTGGCTGTCATGGGTGGTACAGCATTAGTGATAACAGGTGTAGAATAAGAAATTAGTTCTCATACTCCATATTTTATAGTTAATTGTGTTAAAGTTGAAATTCTTGGGCAGATACAAAGAGAGGTGTGGTTGATTCGATCCTTGCATTTACAAATTCATTTTCTAGATGTTCTATTCTGTCATTGATGTTCCTCTCTACCTCGTTAAGTTCTTTCTATTCTTCTTCCGATGTGTTATTATAATATTTCGACACATTATAGATGTCTTTTAGTACTTCATTCTTGACTTTATTGTTGTGCTTTTGTAATTCTTTGATTTTGTTATTGCAAGATGCAATATCTGTGCCACCTCTGACTCACGAAGACCAGCCAATGTCACGTGCACCCAGAATAGCAGAGGAGACATTGCCCCTGAAGGTCAATCTTGATGAAAGAGAATCATGGATGGCTGACGAGATCAAGACCATGGGTAGAAGAATGCACATCCAATCCAAGAGGTATTCTGAAATAGTTACCGTGGATCACAAACAAATATGGAGTCAAACAAAGCGTCTGGGTGAGCTGCTGAGAGTAAGTTGTTGATTTACTGCCCTGGACCAGAGACGAACCACTCATTCTAGAGTTATAGTCCCTGAGTACACCTACTTCATCATGCTCAGAAAGTTGGTGACGTCTCAGTAAGGTTGATGCTTTGGCCACATCACAAGTCCCTATGAGTGAAACTAAGCAGATTTTGCCCATGATGTGCAACAAAAGAAGATCTGTGCCATTTTCTGAAGTGCTGCAGTATGCATTAGCTCAGGCAGTTATCTTTCCTGGTATTGTTTTATAATTATGGATGATCAGTATCCAGCTTTATGATGGAATGGTTATTGGGGAGGTAAGCATTGTAGAAGTTACCAGGGCTAGTAGTAACGTTAGGGTTTCAGCTACTGCACTGTGTCTTATAGCAAGTCCATGGTTACTAACACACCTAAGATCAAGTAATCACTATTCCAGTTCCCTAGAGAACTAAGGACTTTACCAGCACGGAGACACAGTGGGTGTTAAAAGGAATAAGCATAAAACCGTTAGAGAATAGTTGGTTACCTGTCATGAAAAAAATAGGTATTGGAGATTCCGTATTGATTTGATACAGATGAACATGTAACTCATTTTGGCACCTTCCCTTTGTTGTGGACAGATGAGTGTCTAGATGCATTGAAAGGTTCCTTTTCGTTCAACATTTTAGATCTGGCCTCCAAATAATGGCAAGTCGAGTTGGATGGCGAGAAAAGACCTAACATTGCTTTTATCATGAGAGATAGCTTGAATGATTTTCATGTCATGCCATTTGGTCCGTGTCATGTGCCCAATACTTTAGAGTGACTAATGGAGCTTACACTGATGGGACTCCAATGGAAGAGATGCCTGGTATACATCGAGGACGTTTCAGCAGATATGAAAGAAGACTCGAAACTGAAACCAGGAAAATGCTCACTCATGCACACATCTCTGAGATAGCAAGGGTGAGAGACTAGCCTCAACTTTACACCAAGCAATAAATCTGCAATTTCCTTGGTTTTCATCATATTACCGAAATATTTTGGCCAACTTCTTCAAGATAGCAGCATCATTGTCTGCTCTCACTAAAACTTAGATAGGGCAAATAATGTGAACAAGCATTCTGATTTCTAGAACTACCTTTAGTTGAGGCTCTAGCATCAGCACACCCGTGACAACTGAGTATATTCCTATTGTTATAACAGTTGCAGAATAGAATAGCACATGCAATAATCTTACACTTAGATAGGGCAAATAATGTGAACAAGCATTCTGATTTCTAAAACTACCTTTAGTGGAGCATCAGCACACCCGTGACAACTGAGTATATTCCTATTGTTATAACAGTTGCAGAATAGAATAGCACATGCAATAATCTTACACTTAGATAGGGCAAATAATGTGAACAAGCATTCTGATTTCTAAAACTACCTTTAGTGGAGGCTCTAGCATCAGCACACCCGTGACAAGTGAGTATATTCCTATTGTTATAACAGTTGCAGAATGGAATAGCACATGCAATAATCTTACACTCCTTACTCCTGAAAGTAAGCACTGTATGATAAAGAAATAACTACTTGTTGTTGTCGTCTTCACAAAAAACTACCATCACTAATTTTGTGGTAGAAGTATAGGTGGATTATGCTTTTCTGAAATGGTTGCTGAACTTTAAAAATTCATAAGGGTTGATAACACGTTGGGTAACGAATATGAGTTCATCATAGTTCCTCACCCAAGCCTGCAACATGGAAATAAAAATGCATTATCTCACTATATGGTGAGACTCTGTCATCTTGTGGAATATCCTGATCCTGGACACCACGTGCAATAGGAGATTCCACTAGTGGAGGGTTTCCACAATTAACACTTTGGGTAGTCTCAGAAAAACAACTGAAGGACCCGGATCTAGTATGGGTGCTTCTTGCAGTGCATTAAAGTCAAATTCGACCAACAGAAACTGAGTAATGTAGCATGGATGCACAACATAACCCAAGGCACTTGTATGGTCAGTTATGAGGACAAGAAGGGATGTTCTATCATCACTGTCACTGATTCTCAGATTGTTCTGCAACTAATAGTCCCCAGGTTATCCAGACCTTGCATAACACAAAAACAGGAAGGCATCAAGGTATTGCTCACATTTACACTAATATTTAGTGGCAGTTTTTTGGTCGAAATCGAACCAAGAGATTTGGTACTGGTGTGAATAAAATATGATGTGTTCCACTCAGAGGAAAAACTGGCCGAGGCAGGGTCAATTCCAGAAGTAAATTGTTTCTCCTTTACAGATAACAGCCCTGGATATTGCTGGTCCGAGAGAGGTCATACTCATCATGAAGTGGACAAAGGCTTATCCACTGGTCGATACTCAGTATGTAGCGAATGTGTTTACAGAGCACTAGATAACACAGTTTATAGCAATGGGAGTGATCTACATGGAGTGTTTACAGAGCACTTGATAACACAGTTTATAGCAATGGGAGTGATCTACATGGAGTGTTTACAGAGCACTAGACAACACAGTTTATAGCAATGGGAGTGATCTACATGGAGTGTTTACAGAGCACTAGATAACACAGTTTATAGCAATGGGAGTGATCTACATGGATTGTGGAGCTAAGCTAATTTCAACAACCAATTATTCTCCGAGTTGTGTTAGGTGTGTTGAACACGTATTATCATTCCCAGTCTGATGGTTTAGCAGAATGGGTAATACAAATCACAAAGCATATACTTGCCAAGTTTGGTAGTCCAAACTGACCAGAACGAACATTCACCATACCTGATTGAACAGGTAGAATTGAACCCAAGATTTTAGCACTTTAAGTCAACAAACTTACCCCTGTCCCACTGAGAGACATACTAGTAGAATTAGGATATTAGTTAATATCACATATGATTATAACAACAAAATAAATAATGGTTTGTATATATTACTTCACCCACTGCCTTGAATAAATGTAACTGTACTTTACCAGATATATTCTTGTCAAAAAAGATGACCAGCAGAAGTGAAGGTAATTTCTCAACCCCAAAGTCTAGTATCAACTGAACATTTGTGGACAATCAGAAATGACCAAAGCATTCGTGTGTCTGTGGAAAGTGGTCATACACACACAGCAAAAAGGGGAAGAGACAGGACAAAATGGCTGGCTGGCATAGTTTTGTTGTGAAACATAAAATGTGGCAAGTAAATCTGGAATACTTATCCTCAAAACTAAGTAGTTTTCAGAGTGATGCAAGAAGGCATTCAAAGGCTATACCATAAGGACTAACTCCAATCAGGTTTGTTCTGGTTCGTTGTCATAGCTAAGTCTCATGCTACCAAAATCTGGTCCTGAAAATAAACAGTACTGCATCAAATCTTTGGATGTTACTGGCCTGCTTTAGGCTTCTGGTACACATGGACTGACTGCCACGATAATCTGTGTCTCAGTGATACTTAATTACTAACAATAAATCAAACTTTCAAATCAAAATGTCTTTCATCTTTCAAAAGTACAAAACAGTAAACTACTATGTAACACTAAAACTATTCGAGCTTCTTCAGGGTACTTGGTACTTTTATTTTAAGAAAATGAGATACGTTTAATGTATTGAACCACAGTCTTAATTAAAAGAAGAGAAGAAAATATGTAAAATAATATGTATTTTTATTTTTTTTCCTTCTGAAGAAAAAGACAGTTTTCAAAGCATTCAAATTCTTCATATAAAGTTAGATACAACAAATTTGTTTTGATTCAATTGATGATCACAGAGTTGTTACAAGTTATTCAAAAATAAATAAAAATAAAATTTCTTGATATTTTCATAAATTGATATAAATGGAAAATAATCACAAGTAGTAGTAATAGCTGCTGTTTAGGTTTTTTTTTCAGTTTTTAAAAGTTTCAAAATCACAAAGAACAAGGTATTTTACAATGTTCAAAAATCTATCTTACTGCAACCTTAAAGAAATTAAATGGAACTGCAATAAAATTCAAATTCATCAAACTTTAATTGGACATTTTAGAAGTATGCTGCCATTAAAAGAACAGTATACAATTAAAATATTTTATGTACATAAATTTTTACATTATATATATGTACAACAGAGTTTTCTTAACTTCGTAGATGTAATTAAAGCTTAACAAAGCACATATATGGCCCTCTTCATAACACGATTAATGTCCTTAAATCTAAACTTTTCACAGACAAATAGTCTCGATAGTAAACAAGTGGAAATGTATTGTAATACAAATTACTTAGTAATTGGTTTACAGATCTGTAAATTTTGTGGTAGTTCACAGTATTTAATGCTCTGTATTTAAACCTGGATCAGGCTCTCTGTAACAATACGATTATGTCAGATAAACGTTTTTAGTAGATATCCTTGTTAGCTAATATGGAAAACCATCAGCAAGCATTACTGTGATTTTCAACGAAACCAGTTACCTTATTAAACAGAAGCAGTGCAAAGCATATTTGTAGTATATTGGATACTAGAATTTGGTTAAGTCTTTCCCCACCAGAGTTCCCCTTAGCTAAATAAAAACTACCAGAAAATTAGCAAATAAAATCAAATTAAAGAATTACCCCATTGTGAAAAAGTAAATTTCAATTTACTTTAATCTTGCATGAAAAAATATCACCACAAAATTGTTTGATTAGCAACTAAAAATCCACTTAGTAATAAAATATTCCATAGTTGTTGCATTAAATTCAGATTTCAAAATATATTTGTTTTCTTGTTGCTTTTTGAACAACAAATGAGGAAAATAAAACTGCATGTCTTTTACAAAGGTTAGCACAAGATAACGAAATAGGGCATTATTCTGTAGACTTTTGGGAACTCATCTTTTTAAATACCCTTAAAAGTTCAAGAAAGGCATCTTATGTCGGCTTTAATGAACATTTGAAGAAATGTTTAAACAACTCTGTTCAACTATGAATGTATCAGCTGCCTAGTGTCGGCTAAAAATACGAAGAATTAAATTGTGGCAGAATGCCACAAGTTCTTCAAATACCTATAGAATGATAGGTTACTTTTTTGTGAGTGTAAAACACTTAAAAACTCCATAACCATCACATTGTTTGTTAGGGAACAGTGTGGCCTAGTGGTTAATGGTTTAAACTCATAATTGAAAGGTTGCAAGTTCGATTCTTCTTCCCACCTAGTCACTGTGCCCTTGGGCAAAACACTTTACCCCAATTTGTTTTAGTCTTGTCAGCTGTAAAATGGGTACCAGCTACAAGGTTTTGGTTAACCTGTGATAAACTGGCAACCCATCTAATGGGAATATGTCACCATATAACTGGAGTTGATGAACTTTTAAAGGGAATATGTCACCATATAACTGGAGTTGATGAACTTTTAAAGGGAATATGTCACCTATAACTGGAGTTGATGAACTTTTAAAGGGAATACGTCACCTATAACTGGAGTTGATGAAATTTCAAAGGGAATATTTCACCATATAACTGGAGTTGAACTTTCAAAGGGAATATGTCACTATATAACTGGAGTTGATGAACTTTTAAAGAGAATATGTCACTATATAACTGGAGTTGGTGAACTTTTAAAGGGAATATATCACCTATAAATGGAGTTGATGAACTTTTAAAGAGAATATGTCACCATATAACTGGAATTGATGAACTTTTAAAGGGAATATATCACCTATAAATGGAGTTGATGAACTTTTAAAGGGAATATGTCACCATATAACTGGAGTTGATGAACTTTTAAAGGGAATATGTCACCATATAACTGGAGTTGATGAACTTTTAAAGGGAATATATCACCTATAACTGGAGTTGATGAACTTTTAAAGGGAATATGTCACCTATAAATGGAGTTGATGAACTTTTAAAGGGAATATGTCACCATATAACTGGAGCTGATGAACTTTTAAAGGGAATATGTCACTATATAACTGGAGTTGATGAACTTTTAAAGAGAATATGTCACTATATAACTGGAGTTGAACTTTTAACTTTAACAATGTTTGTTGCTCTTAAGCTGGTGAGTTTTCAGATTAACAGTTTTAATAAATTACTCTTTTATTTATTATATGCTATACCCATTGTCATTTGAACAACCAGAAAAATCACAAGATTAGTAAACTTAAAATACTTGGAAATGCAGTATTTTTTCTCTTAGTATGGACAATCACTGTTAAATTTCAAGATCTGTAGTGTATAACTGAGTTTATGTACGTACATAGCTAGTACACTGGGAAAAATAAATACATTTTTACTATTTGTAAAAAAGTTGATTCACACTTTAAGGAATGTTATATCATTTAAAACCACCAAGAAATTACCTTAACATTTTTTCCCGCTCAAGACAACTTTCTGTTTACATTTTAAAGTCACTTGTTTTCCGTTGAGTTTCATAAAGAATAATCCAGAACAAATGTCAAAAGTAAGGTGATAAATATAGAGCCAGCAGAATGAATGTGGGTTTTACAACACAAAACTGTCAATACACAACAGATGCGATGTACCTTCTGCCAGAGGATGCAGGATGTGGAGTTCACCATTATTCTGTTTATGGCTTCTATAACGTCTTCATAGATGTTGAAATCTAATCTCCGTGTAACGTTTCTTTTCCATAAGATCACAACTCTTAGTTTAAGATTTAAAAAAAAAAAGACTCTCTTTTGTTGTCTTTTAAGTTCAGGTGTCTTAAACACATGTACATCATATGCTAATGTCATGTGACATAAATACAAAAGGCACTTCTTTTTTATTACCACAAAAAATCGTGGAAATACTTGTAGGCTTAATTTTCCAAAATCTTGCAAACACTTACTCTCCTTGGGAGGGTAAAGAACACTCTTCCTTAATACTCATGTCTAACACTGTCATTTCAGCATCATTAGCTGCAACCGAAGGATTGATAATTGGTGATGTAGCATTAATTGCATCTTTGATCAGTAGCGACCTCTGTTTACAGTGCCGTAATTCACCAGGGGGCCGTAGAAATCTGTTTAGAAAAACAAAGATATATATTTAATTTGTTGTTTTTTTTAAAAAAATACATAAATCTTTTTATTTGTTTAGAATAATCCTACAAACAAACACAATTTTTGTTTCACCTTTATCGAAATATCAAACATAATCTACTTTAATGTAATAAAATGTAAAATATCACTTGAATAATAAGAATTTGGATAGAGCTCCAAAATAAGAAACTTTTAACAAGCTCTCATTGGATAACATAGAAAAAAACTATATATATCTCTCTAACAGGTTGGTTTCTTTCAAAGAGACATGAACAATTGACCTCAGTCACAATAATATCAGATCTTGTAAAGCATTGTCGTACTAGTTTAAACAGTTTTATGTTAACAGACTGAAAGTTATTCAGTGCTTTGTGACTGAGTATGGGATGTTAATATTTGTTTGTGGATAAACTTAATCAACTTACATCAACTGTAAAATCGGGTAAATAAAAACTGGCAGTAGTGAGTCACAAATACAAAAAATGAATATAAAAATGAAGAAATCTAAACAGGTCCATTTTTATTTATTAATTTCACACTGCTCTGGTTAAAACGCATGGTTTTGCATGCAGTTTATATAAACTTATCAATAAAAGATTTGAAATTTTATATCAAAGCCATTTCTACCATATAAAATTACTTAATCTTGATGTGTGTGTGTGTGTCACTAAGAGGTTTTGTATATAAAAGCATGCAGTAACCTGTAACAATGTCTTTCTCCAGGTTCCTTTTTTAGAATCTTTACTCGGTAGTAATATCTGAGTGCCCGAGACATCTTGTCAAAATTCATGTTGAGGTGATTTTTTTGCATTCCCCATAATCGTGCTAGATGGTTGGGATCGACAATCTTAAACACTCCATTGATCTTGTCTTTCCATGCTATACAGTGATGGTATCGCTGTTCTGGATCATTAAGTAATTCTTGGAGAAATGACCAAAGCAGACGTACATCTGTGAAAATTATTCAGTTATGTAAAAGTTGAAAAATATATATGAAGTAACTCGTTCAAACTGCAAAAATGAAATGAAAACTTGATCGTAAAAAAATAATTAACTAATAAAATCCTGAATACCACCCTTTAAGACATTAACCTATTTTAGATTTTTTTTCTTTTTGTTTTATTTCTTTGATCTTTATATACTTAATTTATACTTAACAACAAAAAGTACTTGAAACAATATCTGAAATTAGATGTGATAAAAAAATTCAGCATTTTTAGTGATCTTTATGAGTACCTCGTTTAACAAAAAAACCACCATTTTAAATTACAGTTTGTATTATAAACATTTAAAAGCAGTCAGTTCTGAAACTAAATTTGACATATATTTATATGTATGTGTGTGTAAAGATCACTTGTTTTTAAGAATATTTATAACAACTTCATTGAATGAAATACATTATTTGAAAGTTATGTTCAAAAGTTTGGAAGTAGACATATTTTTTGCACATAAAATTAAAATAAAAACATGTATATAACTACGTTTTTATAGTAATGATAAATATAGTGATATGTTTTATAAAGCTGTATGAGCCAAAAAGTTCAAACATACATTCATTTGTCTATAGTAGTTCAGCATTTTGTCTTTATTCTTTGTTAGTGTCCCCCCCCAGTGGCTCAGAAGTAAGTCTGCATGCTTACAACACTAATACTCAGATTCTGATAGCCATGGTGGACAGAGTACAGACAGTCAATGTTTAAATAAAACAAACAAAACCTTCAGTACTTCGGTTTTCATATTCTTTTCCCTATTTCTGACTTTTTGGTTTTATTCATAGCTTTTAAAAATAGTTTTTATATGATATTTGTTACTAGCTGGAGTACCCGTCCCCTGGACAGAAGTTATGTAAATTCATGATTAATGAAAGGTTATCTTAGGACATGAAAAGTTCCTTCCCTAATATGTAATTGAAAAAACACCCATAAAAACCACAAAATGCGAAACTGAAAATTTGTATGTACCCCCGCATGGACCTAATGAACCTCCATACCAATTTTGGTGAAAACCCATCCACTCCCTGTGAAGTAGTTACATGGACAGACAACAGACAGTACTATGATATATTTATATATAGATTTTAATCCTGATTAGTACCTTAAGTGACACCTAGGCTAAACAGCCAGGCCAATAATCTTAGGGATCAAGTATAGTTATCTCTAATCTAGGATTGCTAACCAGAGAGAAGACAATCAGTTTACACTAATACTTTTGTGGAAACAGTAGATTCACTGTCATGTAAATAATGTGCCCACATCTTAAAGTGTGAAGTATGTAAGGTGGCATATCATTGGCTCAGATTTTGAACCTTCCTGGCCTGCTAACCAATAGTCTGTTCCTAGTTTTTGCAATACTATGTAGACGTTTAGATCAGTGGATGTAACGGTGGAATGAACACTGGCATTTCTTTGATTGCATTTAAATGTGATATTACATTTAGGGCTGTAAGATGTCTATTATGCTTGCTTATTACTTTAATGCAGACAGCCCTAGACTATCTTCAAAATTAGGGCCAGCTAGTGCAGACAGCTCTCGACTATCTTCAAAATTAGGGCCAGCTAGTGCATACAGCCCTTGACTATCTTTGCTGGAAAGCCCACAAACAACAAGTCTTCATTTCACAAACTATATATAGCAGCTTGTGTTTCAAGATTTATATTCCTTAGTTTTAGCTATACCTGTTCGTGTGGTAACAGGAAAGTTACAACAATGCAATACAGAGGGTTGAGTGCATTATATTAAAACAATATTGAATATGCAGATCAGCAAGTCACATGACAATCACATCTGATATAGTCATAGTAGAATGGAATGTATCATAACTACATTTTAACTTTGTTTAGCATTTCATAGTAGCATGATGCCATCAAAAATTCAATGCTTTTGGGAAGGGTATGTAACAATGCCTTCAGAAGCAAAATATACACATCACAAATATTGGTTCAAATTGAAGCTTTAGAATTTCCAAGATGGAGATATCCCTTGTACTTAATGGCATTGGAAAACAAAGGAATACGAACTTGAGGCACCAGGACTATTGAGAAAGAAACCTGCAACAAGTCATACCTCAGCCTTATCAGCAAAGTGTGGCATCTTGTAACAAGTGAAAATCTATGAATACAAAAGTCAGTGACAGAAGCTGTCCATATGCCCTTGGCAACAGAATGCAACATAATCAAGAAGGATCTCCATCAGGAAATGAGACCAACAGTGTATGAATTCACCAAAAGAAGGCTTCCAGTTATAACTTACATTCAACTGGTGAATACATCAGGCAGCTGGAAAATGAAGTAGATATTCATGCTATTCCAAATGAAGGGATACTGGCCAAGCCATTTAACAGTGTCTATGGATTTCTGTGGACTTGGACTTGAAATAAGTGCTGGCAAACCACCATCCTTGTACACTAGATAAATTATGGAGAAGTGGTATGCTTTGGATATACAGCAGAGCCTTTTGCAATGGAAACTACAATGAAGGATTACTGTCAAGATGCACAGTTGTCAGACAGAATATGACCAAACATGGCAATGTGGACTATAATGATGAGGTGAGGCTCCAAAATTATTTTAATATACTATACTCAATCTTCGGTACAGGAAGCTTAAAAGGAAATGTGAAACAAATACAGATGGGTGTAACACAAAATAATGTAATCTTCATTATCACACAACAAGATGTTGGTATAATAACTCTCGTGACTGTTGGAGTGGGGAGAAAATTTGACTACACTCAACAATCCAGGAAGAACTGTGTGGACTTGGCAGTATTTTCATTGAACACAAATGAGAAGCTACATGTAATTCTGATGGATTTCTCAGCCCCAAGGTCTAGTACCAAATGGACATTTGTGGACATTGACTCCAACAGTAAAAATTTGCATATCACATGACTCATCACTGAACAATCTTGCTTAGTTTCAAATGGGAATGATCAGTGCTATTTGTTCTGGGAAGGTATTACAGAATAGATTTTTAATTATATAACGTGATGCTTCCTCAGCCTGGGACAGAATTGTAGATTTTGAAGAATTTATCAACGTGGTAGGTTTCCAACTTACACAGCTCTCCAGGAAAGGCTCATACGCATGTTACTCAATAAATATCTTTTACTCAAAATAATGAATGCTAATATAACCACAAAAACCTTTTAGAACCAAATTATTAGAACAAAGACTAGAAACTCTTTTTTTACTTTGATAATCATTAACCTCTAGAGCTTCCAGCAGTATAGCAGTGATATAGAGCTTTAACTTGTTGATGGGTTCAATGCTTTTCCATGCATCATGCTAACATTACAAATTGTAGTTCACCTTACTGAGCTGCCAACATACGAGATACAGATCGATCCAGCCAGACCCGAGTTGTTTATACGTGGCAAGCACATGCCATAACCATACCCAGTCACCATGCTCAATCTTTTGTTCCACTACTATTTTGTTGTAACATCTTTCCACATCAACCGTTGTCATCGGCAGTCTCTTGATTCAAGGATGATCTCTACCACGCCTCATTGGTGAATTTTAAGGTGTTTTAGAAATCTGATCCTTAAGTGACAAATTTGTCCACAAAATGTGCACGTCGTATCGTTAGGGAGGGTAGTCCATGAGCCAGGATTTCTTTCACTTTCCTTTCCCTGCACTTTCTTTTCTGCTTCATTTGTATCTATGTGATGATATGTTAATTTTGTCCGAAACAAACAGTCATCTGGTCCTACAAACACATTAACAATTCTAGCTGCAAAGAAAAAATATGTTTACTTCCAAGCTTTAACATGTATCTAGTGAATAATTCTAAAACAAGTTATAAATATTCACATTTTCTTTGTTACGTTTTATTGAAAACCTTTTCCAATTTACTTCTTTAGGAGGAACTTAACTTGTAAATTGAATATACTGAGTTTATCACTGTAATAGGAATATACATACTTATTTTATCTAAAGACCTGTCTTTTTCAGCATGGTTGTTTTTAATGGTGTCCTTATTTATAGCAGAAGGTATTTCTCTTGGCGATGGTGTTCGTACAGTAATCATGTCCGAGTTTGTGCCTGCTCAAGGAAAACTGATGTTATACGTTTATATTTTATCACAGTCATTGCTGCAAACAGTTACAAAACTATATTTTTTATCTTAATGCAGGCTCATCTATTTAAATTTGAAAATCCTCAGATTTAATTTTTACATTAGTCTTTCGATGAAATGTGTCCAAGTTTTAGGAAAAACAACATAGATATTATTCTATTTCTCACATTTTTTCAGTATTTTTGTAATATTTCAGCCGTTTATTGTATATTACCTCGTGTGTTTATTAAACAGTCGTTTCTAAGACTTACCATTCTGAGACCCATCAAAACTGGGATTTGTTGATTGGAGGGATTCCTTGAGTGAATCGCTACCCGGGGATGGGCTTTGTGTAAGAGTATTGTCCACTTCTCCAATCAAGTTTGAGATGCTGTTACTAGAGTTATGAATGACATGACCCATGTTCTGGAAGTCACTGCTAATGATTGGCCAAGGCGATGTTATGTTGGCATTTGAACGTATCAAAGCTGTATTTGGAGAGAAGAGAAAATCTATGTTTTATATTCACTATATTTCACGACTTTTAGGGAAAACAAATATTGGAAAAAGATAAGCAATATTAATTTATTACTTTAAGGGAATGAAAAGCTTTAAAAGTGAACTGTATATAAATAAAGAACAATTAAATGCTTTGTTTAAATCATACATGATATCTTATGTGATGTTTTTGTTATACATATATAAATATATATTTCCATTACTGAATGGAACTACTGCCAAGTGACGATTACCATTCATGATATTATCATTAATGATAATATCATGAATGGTAATCGTCACTTGGCAGCAGTTCAATGATAATATCATGAATGGTAATCGTCACTTGGCAGCAGTTCAATGATAATATTATGAATGGTAATCGTCACTTGGCAGTAGTTCAAGTTAATAGAACATTAGGTCTAAATTCATATAAATTAAATTCTCAGACAAATATTACAACTAACATAACATTAAAGGACAACAAGGGTCCATCTGGGCAATCCTATCCACTAAGTTAAACCAAACACCAAAAAACTCAAAATCAGCCCTTATCATTCAAACATTTATCAAACTTTCCCAAACACTCCACTAAATTAATTGCATATACCACATCCACAGACAACCCATTCCAAGGGCCAACTACTATGTGATAGCTGAAAAAGATTCTTACCCTACCAAACTATATATTTGTGTACCCTAGTCCTAACATTCTCACCATTAAATTTGAAAAAAATATGAGGCATCAACACTTAAAAATCTTAAACACCTAAATCAGATCCCCTCTAACTCTTCTTTTATCAAGAGAAAATAACTTCAGCAATCTTAAACCATATTTGTATGACGAACCCTCCACCCCAGGCACCATTCTAGTAACCCTTCTCTGAACCCTTTCCAACAATTTAATGTTCTTTCTAAGGTAAGGAGCCCAAAACTGAACACAATACTCCAAGTGTGGCCTAACCAATGACATTATAACCCCTTTACCCATGTATTCAATATTTCTGTAAATACAACCAAAAAATCTATTTACCCTGCCACTAGCAACATCACACTGCTTGGATGGCATAAGAAACGGATGAAACAGAACACCAAGATCCCATTCTTTCATGACACTATTAAAGTTATTCCCATCCGAAGTATACTTATAATTCAGATTGTGATGTCCCACATGCAATACCTTGAATTTATTACAAATAAGTCATCTGACATTTATTTGTCCAAATACTTTTGTAAAGCAGCAGCATCCTCCTCACAGCCAGCAACACCCATAATTGTAATATCAAGAGCAAATTTAAATAATCTATTGACCATTTCTTCATCTATGTCATTGATGTAAATCAAAAAGAGCAAAGGTCCTAAGACTGAGCCCTGAGGTACCCCATTTGTGACATTATTCCAGTTTGACTGAACTCCATTTGTAACAATTCTGCTTTTTTCCATCTAGCCAGTTGTCTATCCAATGAGCCAACCTATCTCCCAAACCTAAAGAGATAACTTTTTAACAATACTTTTTTGTGGCACTTCGTCAAGTGCCCTTGAAACTTGTGGAAAATCCTTGTAAGGCTTATTAATATTGTGACATCATTGACCTTTGTCATTAAGTTATCATCAAAACAAAAAGCACTAGTCACTCAAGTCTACATAAAGAAAAGTTTCATGTCATAGCAGTAACAGAAACTTTGATTTTCATTTGTGTGTTTACTAGCATATTATCAATACTAAATCCATCATAATACCATATCTATATGAAAAGATATTTCCTGTATTAATAGAAAGTTTAACATTACTACTATCTTTACTAACTTACGTGGATCACTGTTAGCCTCTTGCTCCCTTAAAAGAGCTGTGGAGATGTTGTTGATGTAGGGATATCTTGTGTGCTGACTAGCGTTTTTCAAGCATTGTTTCAAGAGCAAGTGAAAACAGTTGTACATTATATCTCCTGCTCTTGGTGCTCTCTCCATGAAGTCAGACTTTGTCAGTAAGCACATAGCTTTACCTATTGAAAACAGTACTGAAAAATTAATTTAACAATAATTCTGGTTTTGTTTCAACTTTTAAATGCAACAGTATATCTTAACGGTTTACCATACTGCAGATTTTGTATTCTTTGTTACCGTACCTAAATAACAACAGTTTGTACATAATTATTAACTACACAGAAAAGAATAAAAAATAATAATACTCTTCCTTGTACATGTCATGAAAAAACTCAACATTAAACATTATTACTAAACCATAATAATGACAGTAAAACAACATTATACATTATTACTAAATCATAATAATGGTAGTAAAACAACATTAAACATTATTACTAAACCATAATAATGGCAGTAAAACAACATTAAACATTATTACAAAACCATAATAATGGCAGTAAAACAACATTAAACATTATTACAAAACCATAATAATGGCAGTAAAACAACATTAAAC